CCAACAGAATCGTCTAATGGAAATTCTTCACATCTAGAAGAATTAGAAGTTGATGATTTGATAGAAACTAATGATTTCACAACTCCAAGTTTAAAGTCGTTCAACAACTTTCCAAAAGGAGGAAACTGAGGAAACAACAACCTTTCAAGTTGAAATTCCTGAAAAAGAATGGAAAAGAACAATTAACAGACAAGTTTATTCTACTACTCAACCAATTAATCGTTCCATTCAAGAATTGAAACAACAAGTGACCGAAACAAAACGAAACATGTTGTCAATTTCCACTCCTCTATGGATTTTGGTCTTCCTTCTCTCAGTTTTGATTGCAATTGAATATTCCAAGTTTCAATTTGTTTCTAATAATTCATCAACAGCAACCCAACAACCAAATTATATTTACAACAATTACACAACCATTCAATCAAAATATTCAACTAGATCATTAGAAACCAATGCCAATGACAATATTAAGAGCTCTAATAACCCTCCTTCTTCTCTTCCTTCCCCACCAATTCCAAAACTCACAATTCAATTCATTTCTGAAAATGTCCAATACATTAATACTGGTTATCTTCAAGAAAAGTTTACAAAATCACTCAGTTCATTGACAGTCCCTCCAAAAATTCAATTCGAATTCAAAAGATTAAAATCCATAGATGAAATCACTAAGAATTCATTCTTCCTCTTAATTGTACAATCCACAAGATTCCACGATGAAGAAAGGGAACATCTCTTGAAGAAGTATACAAAGGATATTCCATTAGATCAATGTGCTGTCATTTTCGTATGTCTTTCAGATTTGATTAGATTGACTAAAGATCAAACTATGGGAAGAGATGTTTTCAGTGTGAAATGGAATGAAAATGTCAAACAAATTAATGAAAGAGATGAAAAAACAATTGGAAAATTGATTGAAAAAATTATTGGTGAATAAACTTTGACAGCTCGAGTTGGACAATAATCTTTACATTTATTTAATATGGTTAGCGAAATGATTATTGTAAAACTGATCACCAAAATCACTTCTCAACAAATTCTCCAACTTTGCTTTGTTAGCTTTTCCAATTCCTTTCGTGTATTGAGTTCTAATTTCCATGTCACTAATGAATTTACCACTTTTAACTTGTTCAATTATGAATGATTTAGTTTTGGCATCTGCAGAATATCCCTTCAAAAGGAATTTGTAAAATCTCATCAACTTTGTTGGATTGCCAGAAACCCAAAATTCCCAATCTCTTGGTTTTACAGGAATTCGTAAATTTTTTGAAATTACGTCCTTAATTCCTTGCCCATTTCCAATAGTATCAATAATGCACTTATTGATTGGATCATACCAAAGAGAATTACATGTGAAATCTCTACAAATGTTTTCTCCTCTCAGATTAGTTCCATAACATTGAGCAATTTGTGCTTTCACACTCTTATTATCATTATTTAAACCATTAATGGCTTTACCTTCCAGGAATAGATCAGAACCATTGGAGCTTCCTACTTGAACTAGTCCACGGGGTCCAGGAATTGGAACACCTGATTTATATTTTCGAGTGAGGCGTCCATGAAATGTTTGTGGATCACAACCAAATCCAATATCAATATCCTTAATATTATTCATAATTTGTAAGGCATTGGTCTTTTTTTCAACAATCACTTCTCTAATGACATCTCTGACAGCTCCTCCAACAATAAATATTGGAATATCATGCTGTTCTCTCATGTATTTCATAACATCGATATAGGTAGCATTGGGCTCACTCCAT